TGCAGCAAACCTGAAGTTGTCCAAGATGATGTCGCCGACTACGGAAAAGGAGCGTGCCGAAATACGGTCACGACCGTATCGTTCCTTAATCGGGTGCCTCATGTACATCACAACCTGTACTCGGCCGGACATTGCCTACGTTGTCACGCAGCTGGCACGCTTCCTAGAGGATCCTGGAACGCAACACTGGAAGGCAGCGATTCGTGTTCTGCAGTATTTGAAGTCCACTCGCCATCATGGTATCGTTTACAAAAGTGGAACGAGTGGATTTGGAACGCAAGCTGTCAAGGCAGAAGCGTTTACGGACGCAGACTGGGGAAGCAACATTGACGACAGACGTTCCGTGTCTGGCGTCATGGTCATGATTGGGAACGCCCCGGTGGTGTTTAAATCCAAGTACCAGAGGACGGTTGCGCTTAGCTCATCGGAAGCAGAGTACATGGCACTAAGCCTTTGTACTCAAGAGGTACTGTGGACACGTGCCATGCTGAAGGATATGGGTCACGAGCAAGTGGGAGCGACGCAGGTCTGGGAAGACAATCAAGGTGCTATTGCACTTGCAAGCAACGCTGGATATCACGCGAGGACCAAGCACGTGGATATCCGTCACCACTTTATTCGAGAGAATGTGGAACGTTCCACAATCAAGGTGGCCTACATCGACACGAAGCAGCAGTTAGCTGACATGCTTACGAAAGCACTGGGAACGAAGTCGCTAGCGTTCCTTCGCGAAGCAAGTGGAATCAAGAAGAGGAACGACGTGCAGTAGCGGTGAGTGGGAGTGTTGATATGCACCGACTCTGCACGGCTCGGCTAACCGGTGTGACGTTCCAAAATGGACCGGTCCCAAACCGGAAAATCTGGTGGATGGCCAGGAGCACTAAAGTTTAGAGGACAGATTTAATTGACTTTAATCTACTCACTTCGGCATGTGCCTTTAACAACAACAACACACGTCGAGTCGAGCTCGACAAACTTGATGTCCTGTATTAAATGTTGAGTTGTATTGCATTAGGTATACTGTATTACCAATGTGCATTTACAGTAATCAGGTTATGCGTTATATAATACAGCCTGACTCAACTTTTGATGTCGAATTCGAATCCACCATGAAAAAAAAACCGTGTCGTAAAAATTATTGAAGCGTTTTAATACCCTTTTTACTCGGAACTCTTTTTTCCCATCCGACGCAAGACATTAATGGTGACAAGACCTGTGCTTTGATCGTTGTAGCGTTTGGCGGTACAAATCATGCCTATTTGCTAGCTAAGTAAATCAGCGAGCCGCAGCAGTGTATACTTTGTTTAATATATCGCGGCAACACCACGTGCTGCAACATGTATATTCGTTTGCATGAACTGGGCTGTAGTACGAAAAAAAAATAAGTAACACCCAATTCAACCGTCGCGTTCAGACTTCCCGTGTCGAAGCTCTGCACGCGATAACACGCTTCACCTTTACCGCTTGGTGGTGTCGTGACTTAAGACTCCACCTCCATTTTAGAAAAAAGTAAACATTGAATATATATTTGTGTGCAACGTTTTTTTTTTAATTTGCAAGTCACACTCGATGCTACAAGACCATATATTGTATCGGAATCAATCGATCTGTAGTACTGCAGATTGTGCTTCGTGCTCAGCATAATTTGTACGCTAAGCGTATTTTATCTCGATTGTTTGAGATCTGTTTCTGGATGCAAGAGCGTGATCTGTCTTGCAATAAGGGTCAAAAGACGATGATGTAAATACGAGTACTAGCCAATCCTGCAATGCGAGCTGGTATCTAACCGGCTACACTGTTTGCTCTGTCAAAACTATACAACACGCAGACAACTGAAGCTGGCCATAATCTAGCGTGTTGGACATTGTTCGGCACCCAAGTAACCAGCATTATTCAATTTACTCCGCGAGTTCAACAGCCTCCACACAACACAGCAAGATGGCCTTCCCCAGTTTCCTAAAGATTATCGCTCTGATCGCTCTGTTCACGCTGACAGTCAATGCTGATGATACGCGACGCCTCCGCTCAGGCTACGACGTTGTGAACGCGCCTGTGGCGAGAGAGTTACAGGGCAAGAACTTCGCTACTTGGTTCAAAATTATCAAGAAGGACGTCGTGGCTCAGCCGATTTTCGACAAGGTGAAAGAGAAGTATCAACAAGCTAGCGCAATCGTCAAGGGCAAGGGCAAGTAAGACAGAGATGGATGCCAGGTCAGTAATTAATATACTGCCGATACACCCTCGTGCTTGAATCTCAGCTATTCAAATGCGTTACATCTATCCTAGTAGCCCGAATAGTGATTGCGGTGACCGCGCAGCCGACCTGGTACTTCTGTAGTCGGCATTAGTATTTTTAGGAGTTATTTTGTATCGTACAACCGATTTTATGCAAAATAACGGATTTTACCGTTTACAAACTCCAAAAGCCCGCTACCGATTTTGAAAATCCACAGAATTAGTGAGTTCTCCACAGATGGTGAAAAATCTAGTTTCGTTAGAGGGCGGTCGTGAGCTCACCAGCAAACGGACCCGTTGCGCTCTCGAGGACATGTATTTCAATTGCTCTCCGACGGGTGGGGGCAAGCTATTAGAGGCCCTCACTTAAATACTAACATCCACTTCACAGGAAATTAAAATCGAAAAGGCACTAAAATAGAAGACCGGATACTAATCGGTAGTTCGTAGACATTGTTTACGAAATAGCTCTTTTAGTGCTCGTTGGCGAAGATTTATAGAAGCGGCAGTGCAGAACCGAGAAGACAGTCTCGGAACAAGTTCTATAAAAATTCGCTTTACATGCTCCAGTTAGCAAAATTAACAGATTTACGCTTTCGGTCATTTCAGGGAAATATGACTATTCTCCTTTCACTGCCTTGATTACACTTTGATGTCGGCTGATTCCACCATCGACATTCTAAACTAATATCATGCGCTGCCCGGGAAGCTCTAGAAAGTGTCGAAAGTATTCATTGTTGAAGTCACCGTCTAAGTCTCACGTAACCCCTCCAACCCGACGTGCTGAATAATGCAGCTTATTTTTTTCTCATAAACTGCATTATGCTACAGTGGTCACGGTAATTAATCTAAGTTGATAAATAATCTCATACACTAAATAATCTCACTCAGGTTTGTTGAGAATAATTCACGTGAACAAACTTTTTCAAAGTTCATTATTAATCTCAGTTGTAGTTGATATCTTGTATTCACTATTGATCTTGCTTATGGTGGAGGAGAAGAGGGAAAAACTACAAAAGTGAATATTGGAGCTGTAAGGTTGAGTTTACGCACTGATAAGTGGTGCACTGACACTAAAGAAACAGGAGTCACCACCAACTTTTTATTTTCGTAGTGTAACCGTCAACTTGGTAAGCCAGCACTATAAAGAAGAACTAGGCACCAATCGAACGGAGCACAAAACTAAGGTCATGCATCCAGCATTACGACGAAAATGCTTCTGAATGATATCATTCGACTTACGTTGCATATCTTATTGAAGTGACTCTCTTCGTAAGGCTTGTAGTTCTTGAAAGACAAAAACAATTCGGCCTGTCAAAAAAAGCAAGCCATGAAGTTATAACAAAGAGCTTTAAACACATAGCGCTAAATCAAACAATGATCTATTTCAAAGGCAATTGTAGAGCTCACAGACTCCTCCACTCGTAGGTAGTACTTATCAGTTTTACGTTGCTCCATCGCGACAACTCTCGGCTCCAACGTTCGCCTTATACAAGTATCTCTTGAAGAGAACCAAATAATATGACGATGATGTTCTCTATAATACTGTAGTGCTACGTAGTACGAGCAGACTCGAAACTCTCCAGCAAATTGCTGCCAGCAACTTCTGCGGTTAGCACGATGCATTGCTGTACAATACCACTGCGCGGCTGACTGAAAATTGTGCTGCTGTTTGGCTTACTCAAGCCAAGAGTTAGTCAAGCTTCTGATAACTATTCAGGCACTTTGCGTTTATTGCGAGCAGCACGAAGGCTTGCTCCGTCTTTCTTCTCCGAGCGCACATCCAAACCACTCGTCGGCTCGTCCAGGAAGAGAATGCTAGGGTTGAACACCATCTCCCGACGATCATGCGCTTCTTGTATTTCACGGAGAGACTACAGACCATAGCTCCAGCAATTGGAGTGAGCTTATCATCTCGTTTACCAGAATCATTACTTCGTTGTTCACGAACGTCGCGGTAGACGCAGGTGGGTTGATAACATCAATGCCTCGTAGATCGACGCTGCTTTCGAGTGATTGTTCAGGCTCGAAGTGTGCCGTTCTGCCACGGAGAGACTACTTCTCCGCACCCGAAGGCAGCGTGACAAAGTACTCGAGGGATACTTAAGTACCATAGTAGTCAGTTGTAAGCTGTCCTTGATGCACAGGCTCGACGGCGCGAATGGCAGACCATCGCTCTTGACAACACCAGTGTTATGAGCACTTGGCGTATCCAGTTGGGGTATCCACTGCAATGTATATGTCGTCGTCCGACGGCTTGTCCGTTATCACCTATGCTCGCAAAGCTATGATAAGAAGTGGTCTGTCCTTGGACCTCGATGGAGTATGGAGAACAACACAATTATTTCCTCATCTGCAATAAATTATTTGAAAATACCCGGATCATTTCGCTGGAGACGTTGCTAGAAACACAAAGTTGAACACCAGCGACAAAAAAGGAAATACCTTCGGCGACGGTGATCGGTACTCTACCTTATGCTATGGTTTATGTCGAACAGATTCAGCTAGTGCATTTCTATCGGAGCTGAAATGACCAGTGGTGTGGAGGCTGCTTTTCGCGTGATCACATCGTGTACGTCGCTTATGATGACGCTAAGCCCAACACCTGCCGTTTACAAGATCTACAAGACTAAGTCCATCGGCAACACCAACATCGTCTCCCTCGTATCCGTTGTCATGTGTGGACGCTTCAGGGTTTGCTGACGAGCAATTGGTTCCCCGTATTCACGACATTTGTGTGTGGGGATTTCATCGCGACTGGCTACATGATTGTCTTCCTCCGGTACACGGCAGATCGCTGGAAAGCTGGGAAAGTGATCGCCGTCTACGCAGGTGCTCTGTCGATCATAACTTTTTGTACACGGTACTCGGGGGGATGAGCGTCTTTACGAGTCTCAGTCGAAACCAGGTGAGCGATATTATGGGATATCTTGCAATGTGTGTGACCTTGGTGCTTTATAGCTCTCCGTTTCTAAAGATCAAAAAGTAATAAGGTTTAAGACAGGAATATTCATTCCAATCCACATGGTGATAGCTGGAACGATCAATAACGCGATGTGGACCACGTGCACACCCATGTCTGGACTATGGTTTCTCTTCATGACAAACGTTTGCTGTGCCGCACTCGGTGTTGTCCAGCTGGTGATTTATTGGATGTATCACCCAAAGAAACACCCGCTTTGTTTCGGTGCCACCCTGGCAGATCTGCTAGAGAAGGAGAGAAGTGATGACTCTTCTGTCGCAGTTGACAGGCTTTCGAGCGTTCACTCAAACAGCAAAGTGGTTTCAGAGAGCCCGATGTACCACAATTTGTCATCTCCGTTAGGCAGCTAAAATGCAATTATAAAAATAACAACGAATATTAACTGTCTTAGACTGTGAGCGTAGTCGTCATTTGTCATTTGTTAAAATAAAGTAAGAATTGCACTTCTTTATGATTCAAATAAGAGCTCTGTCCAATAAGATTGCTAGAACGCGATAGGAAGCTGGCATTTTTTTAGTGTTGGTCGGCGAGCGGAGGAAAGTGAGGCAAGTGCTTTCCTCATGCGTACAGTCGTCTACGGGTAGCGTTCGGGGGTACATGTAGATGTGAGATTAATTTCAGGGCTACATAAAATAATAGCAATGAGATTTATTCTACCAAACACTATTTAATGGAGTTCATTAATACTCTCACGGAGATCAATTGCTGTGTGAGATAAAACAATTACTCCACACAAAATAATTTCAATGAGATTCATTACCGTGACCACTGTACATAAGAGCAATTTAGACTTGAAATTTGAAAAGAGCGTATTAAGCATTTTGTGCTTATAAAACCAATTTTTTTACATGTCTCTAAACGGCTTCCATTAGGGTAAAATTTAGAATATCAAACACAAAATGATTTTATTTTATATATACTGCCTAGTTTTGTATCGAGATGTAGTATATCTTAGAATGTAATAGTATATCTTAGAATGTACATCCGCCTCCCCGTGAGAAACGAATCTGCGCTACCCAATAGCAAAATAAGATACTGTTGGCTTTGGCAAGTCTGAGTACTAGTTTCCAGAGTTGAAACAGAAAAATACACCGGCAAGGCAGGTGATAACCTAGTATATTCAACAGCTTTTTTGGCTGCTGGTGAAATGTAGAGTGAGAGTCAGGAACAACTTGAGGCTGCCCTTCTTTCTCAAGCACATAGCGGTGCAGTTTTGAAAATGTAAGGCCTCCAGTAAATTCACAAGGCCAACCGGATGCTAGCTAAAAGCGCCTGTTATATAAATGACGTGAGGAAACGTCACTGACCAAGATGTATTCGGCCCGCCTCGTGCACTCCAGGGTCACTACAGATGGCGGAAGCATGCTTGATATCAGGAATCCACCACACTGCCTCTAAAGCGAAGTTTTCGCCACTAAAGTACGCCTTCTCTTCTAAACACCCAGTCAGCAGTCAGATCAAGCACCATGTAGGCACTGCCTGGTCTCCTGTGAGTCTAGTGAAAACGTTCCTCTCCTTCGGTGTCTTCGGGAATGTGCTGCATCCTGCTGGGTTCTGGCTGCCGAATGGTCGGCACCAGCAGTTCGCGAGCGATTTCGTCGACCGACATGATCTCCACCGGCGGTATCCGCTGGGAATAAGCGCTGTCCTGAAGATAATCGACTTCTTTGTCGGTTTCGTGCTTGCTGAGAAGGGGTATCAGTCGTCGACGAATTTGATTGTTGGTTTTCAAACCCAGGTCGGTCCACTAATGTTTGATTCACTGCATCCGTTGAACCACCTCTGTTAGGCTCTTGAGATTCGACAACCATAATGCCAGGCTCGGCCTGACGCATTGAAGGTTGTCTATTCCAGTTGGCTTTGCGATGCTTATTGCATCGTCCATGTAACGGGGTACGTAGCACTAAGTGTACCCTGGTTACATGAAGTGTGACACTTCACACTTCAGGAGTATGACATGTCATACTCCGGGATATTTGGTACAAGGTACCAAGGTCATTCAAAACCAACCATTGGTTTTATGACATTGCATTTCTATAGGTAACTGATAGTTTGTATTAACCTCAAACTTAACCTACCTATAAATATACTCAGTTTACAATCTACCTTATTTAGGTCACTTCGCCCTCTTTAATTAAAGAGGGGACCTGTGAACTGCCGTTCACTGAGAGTTTGTATACTCTCGGAAGATAACTTCCTCTAGCGCAAGGTGCTGTGTGACCCCGTCACACTTGGTAGCACTTGTAGTCAATCCACGCCATCGCGGGTAGACTACCTGAACCTCCGAAGTTCGTTGCCATGGATAGGAACGACTTCTCCCATATGAACGACTCTCAGTTCGAGTCGGTTCGGAAGATGGCAGGCATCTTCGGGATGGAGGCCCTGCAGAGCCTGGTGGTATCAACACCGGCTGAGCAGCTCGAGCGCGTCAATGCATTCGACGCGTACGAGCAGGGCCTCATCGCGCATGTGCGGGAGAACCTGCAGGCTCTGGCGGCGGGAGCAAACCCGCCTCACCCGAAGCCAATACGGCTGAAGGTAAAGCCGTATGAAGGGAAGGAAGGCGAGAACCTTCACTTCTGGGTCCGAGAAGTAGAGCTCGCGATGGACGCGGCTCTGATCTCGACCGAGCAACTGCGTGTTGCTTTTGCACTCTCCAACCTTTAGCGGTCGTGCTAAGAGTTGGGTGTACACTCGGGAAGCGACATCCCCTGGATGTTTCACATCCTGGGCTCAGCTGTGCGAACAGCTCCGAGCCGCGTTCCTCCCGGCGAACTACGAGTACCGCCAGCGTTCGCGCTTCCTCGCGTGTAAACAAGGAAGACGCGAACTGCACGAGTATGTGCAAGAGATACGGGAGCTCACGGCGTCCCTAGTGGGAAACCCACTCAATGAACACATCAAGATGACTGTGTTCATGGACGGCCTTCGAGTGGGCCCCGCACGCACTCAGCTGTTCCGGGTGCAGTCAAGCACCCTTGAAGAGGTGATTCAAGTGGCTCTTCTAGAAGAGTACAGCCATCGCCAGGCGCGTACGCCGGCCTCAGCGTGGCCTGGGAGTTCCTTGTCGGCTCCCGGTCGAACAAGCCCCAACGGACCAGCTCCCATGGAACTCGGGTCCGCCGAACAGCGCGACATCCGCCGCTTCGGCTGTGGGAAGATAGGCCACTTCAAGCGTGACTGCCCCGCGGAAAGACTCCGCAGACGGTCCTTCCCTAAGCCCGTCCTCAAGGGTCGCTGGCAAAGCCAGGATCCCGGGGACAGGGGAACGCAGGGAACCAGTTGGGGCGGGGCGCCCTACTGGGGAAGAACTAAGTCTTCGTGATGGGTGCGCGGGTGGCGCGTACCACGAGGACTTAGCCTCTGAGAGTCTTCGCACTCTCGAATCGGCGAAGAGCAGCGGCGGGTTGCTCGTAGTACACGGATGTGTACGGGGGTACGATCACCCCTTTAGAATTTTGATTGACTCTGGGGCGTCGAAGAATTTCGCACGCCGCCAGACGGCTGCTCGTAACAGCAACAAGTTGTCCGATGCTTTGAGAGAAAGCAAGGGCAACGGGACGGTGTCAGTGCGACTGGCCGACGGGAAGGTCGTCACTGTCCCCAACGTCCAAGTGGATCTGGCTGTCAAGTTTGAAGACTTTGACAGCCTCGAACAGTTCACTGTTCTCGATATGGATCCATATGATATGATCCTGGGCATGCCCTGGCTTGAGAAGCACGAGCCCTGGATCGACTGGCGAGGCAAGGCAATCGGTGCCAGCCGCCCTGCGCAGTCCGACAGAGCATTGGTGAGTCATGTTCCCACCTCTGTCAGGACCCGGGGCGCCCGCGAGGGCTGCCAGGGTACCAAACCATCCGGTAGATGCTTGGGAGTCGTCGACGTATATGACGACTCCGAGGATGTTTTGATGGTGGCCGCGCCCAGAAGAGGCGCCGGCCAAGTGGGTAACTTAGGTCCACAGGCGGGTAACTTAGTTCCGCAGACAGCTGCAGCTGTCATGAACACTGAGAACAGCGTGTTCAGAGTGGGTAAAAGAGTTCCACTCACGGTCGTCCAGACCATAACTGAAGAGGAAGACGTCGGATACGCTTCCTGTGTGGGTAACACAGTGCCACACGCGGTCGCCTAGACCTTAACTGAAAAGGAAGGCGTTGAACACGCTTCCTGTGTGGGTAACACAGTGCCACACGCGGTCGCCTAGACTTTAACTGAAGAGGAAGGCGTTGAACACGCTTCCTGTGTGGGTACAACAGTACCACACGAGGCCACGAGTGCCTCGGATGTCGTAGCGACGACATCCCTAGACGTGGTCAGCAAAGCTCCTCGTCACAGACGCCGTCGACAAAGACGCCGCCGCCGCCTCAAGTCGGGATCCGAACTACGTTCACAATCGACGACGCTTCAAGCGACTCGGGAGTTAGGGGTCCGAGCCTCCTCCGACAAGACGGGTGGAAGAGAGTTATCACATCTTTCGAATGCCGAGATGGGATTAACCGGTCAAGGCATCTGGTGTCCACTTGGAACTGTTGCCAGAGGTTGCAGAGATACTGAACCTCGAGGAAATGACGGCTGAGTCTTTCCTGGCCAACCTCAAGGCTGGAGAGATCGCTGAGATGGTACTCATGAGACCTGAGACCACTCAGGAGGAGCTGAACTCCTCCTCTGTCTTGGACGAGAACGTCCTGGAAGACATGAACAAGCAGCGTCAGGCGCGCTTGGGTTCTGAGATTCTCAAGAACCCCAAGGATCCGGTGTATCCTTTGGTGACGGAGTATGCGGACGTGGTGAATAAACACCCACCGACCTAACTCCCACCGGATCGAGGCGTACGGCACGAGATTGATCTCGTGCCCGGCACAAAGTATTGTGTCACGAGGCAATGGCCTCTCCCGCGCGAACAGTGCGAGGTCATTGATGCCTTCTTCGCCGCGAAAGCGAAGGCAGGCATGGTGCGGGAGTCGAAATCCCCGCACTCGACGCCGACTTTCTGCGTTCGTAAGCCAAACGGAAAGTGGCGTCTGGTTCACGCTTATAACAAGCTGAACGACGCAACGGTGCCGGCCCAAACACCGATCCCACGAAAGGATGTGTTGTTGAACAACATGGCCGGGAGCGTACTGTACAGTGCGCTGGATTTGGTAGACGGATACTACCAAATCCTGATGCGAGAGAGTGACATCCCGCTCACCGCGGTAAGCACTCCAAGCGGCATGCTTTGGGAGTGGCTCGTCATGCCGCAGGGCTTGTCGAACGCCCCGGCGACGTTCAATCGCCTGGTGACGCAATTGTTCCGCCCTTTGCGTACCTTCGTACAGACGTACTCCGACGACATTTTCGTCCATAGCC